CATGGAACATTCTATCCTAAAAAGGGCAAAGGGGTGGGATTATAAAGGAAGAGGTGAGCTCTTCCCCAGCAAGTGGAGTCTGCGAGATCTTGAGCTTCAGGATGGTTCTTGCTAAGAGGTGGACCCTGAAGAAGCACTTCAGTGGCAGCCCTACTAATAGTGACTTTGAGTTGAAGACTGCTGAACTCCCACCCTTAAAAAATGGAGAGGTCCTGCTTGAAGCCTTCTTCCTCTCCGTGAATCCTTACATGAGAATAGCATCCAGAAAATTGAAGGAAGGTGATATAATGATGGGGGAGCAAGTGGCCAGAGTTGTGGAAAGTAAAAACTCAGCATTCCCCAAAGGAACTGTTGTACTGGCTTATTTGGGCTGGACAACGCACACCATCTCTGATGGGAAAGGACTGGAAAAGCTGCCTACAGACTGGCCAGATTCACTACCACTGTCTTTGGCTCTGGGGACAGTAGGTATGCCAGGCCTAACTGCCTACTTTGGCCTGCTTGACATCTGTGGTGTGAAAGGTGGAGAAACAGTGATGGTTAATGCAGTGGCAGGAGCAGTGGGCTCTGTTGTGGGGCAGATAGCTAAGCTCAAGGGCTACAAAGTCGTTGGAGCAGCAGGGTCTGATGAAAAGATTGCCTATCTTAAAAAGATTGGATTTGATGTTGCCTTTAACTACAAGACAGTAGAGTCTTTGGAAGAAACTTTGAAAAAAGCGTCTCCTGATGGTTATGATTGCTATTTTGATAATGTAGGTGGAGAGTTTTCAAACGTTGTCATACCCCAGATGAAGACTTTTGGAAGAATTGCCATCTGTGGGGCCATCTCCACATACAACCGGACTGGTCTGCCTCCCCCAGGCCCACCCCCAGAAGCTGTTATCTATCAACAACTCCGCATGGAAGGGTTCATGGTCACCCGCTGGCAAGGAGATGTCCGCCAGAAGGCTCTGAAAGACTTGATGACATGGACCTCCGAGGGTAAAATCCAGTATCATGAACACATTATTGAAGGATTCGACAACATGCCATCTGCATTTATGGGATTGCTGAAAGGAGAGAATTTGGGGAAATCCGTAGTGAAAGCATGAGAGAAAAATGACACAGGAGCCACCACTGGACAATTTAAATGATTAGTTTTTCACCATTCAGTAAAAAATAGCCTTAATTATCTAAATTATCTTAATTGTCTAAAAATTAGCCTTGATTATCTAAGAATAACTAATCACTTTGACCTACCTAATAAAATGCATTTAAATTATTTATAATTAGTGATAGAGAATGAAATTTTCATAGTTAAGAACAACCAATCACCAACTTACTACCTACTACTGCTCCTCCCGGGTTATAGCCAAAAAATTATGACTTTGAAGTCTGTGTGTTAGCTTTCCACTACTGTGACAAAATGCCTGAATAATCACCTTAAAAGAAGGAAAGGTTTATTTTGGTTCACTGTTTTGGAGGTTTCAGTCCATGGTCTATTGGCCCCACTGCTTTGGGCCCAATTGGTGAGGCAGTACATCATCAGGGAAACGGGTGGGAGAAGCTGCTCATCTCATGGCAGCCAGGAAACAAAGAGAAGGACAGAAAGGAGCCAAGACCCAATATCCTCTTCAAAGGCATACTCCCAGTGACCTAATGTCCTCCCGCTAAGTCCCCTCTCTTAAAGAATCCACTCCTAATAGTGCCAGTCATGATAAAGCTTTTAACACATGGGCCTTAGGGGGCACTCATCCAAACCAAAGCAGAGTCTAAAAGTTTACTCCCTCTGTGGCCTTGAACTTCCAATTCTTTGTTTTTAAATTGAGGATAGTTACCTCCTTCCAGAAAATGGTGAACCTGAAGTAATAAGATCTCTAACCCTACTGATTATAACAAAAGTCTCATATGAACCAAGAAAAGCAAATCTCTTCATTCACAACAGGTGCAAAAAAGATAGCACCTAGGAATACTTATAGACCTTTAAAATTTTTTTGCAAGATTTATATGGAAAATGGCTTTTAAAATTCTGAGGAACACAAATGATTTGAATATATGGAAAAAGTAACATGCTTTTGGACAGGAAGATTCAATATCAGAAAGATGTCAATTTGTTGATCAATTCTGTCATCATTAAGTTAAATAAAATTGTACAAAGAATGAGGCAAAAACTGTGTATAAAAACTGAATGGATATAAAATAAACTACCAATAATGGTCTGTTTTCAAAGAATAAAACTGAGTATGGAAAATAGAGGGATAAGAGAAATCTTTGGAATGATAACATTTGGTACTTTTTGAACTCTGAACCTTACAAATTTACTCACAAATACAATTAAAAAATAAAAGTCCCCGCTTTAAATAAATAAATAAATAAATAAATAAAGGAAGAGGTGAGTGTAGCTCAACCCCTACGGGCGACATCTACACCTGGAGCCATGCCTTGCTATCCCAAGTTACTGCCAAGACCTGGCACTATTGTGCCAGTCTGAAGGCAATAATTGGTCAGTGCCTCGGGCATCAGAACTTGAAGCTCTGCATCCAGGGCAGCTCTCGACACCTTCCTAAGAAACCACCCACGGCCCTGTGGCTACACGGGCAGCTGGGCAGCTGTTGCAGTGAGCATTTAGCTATCCCAGTCTCCAAGATGGAGGAAGCGAGAAGGGTTGGAATGGGTGTTGTCCTAGCCTGCCACTGGGGAAGTCGTGTGTTTAAACTTGTGTTTTTAAACCCTTGTTCTGGATACAGAGTGAAGAAGAGTTAGGAGGTCCCAGGCCTAGAGGGAAAGATGGGTGAGGAAGAGTAGTCAGACTTCACAGCCTGCAGCCAAGGCAGTCTCTACTATAATGACATTTGTCACCAAGGCCAGAAGTCCCCACATGCCCTTGAGGAGGCCAGGAGAGCCCTGCAGGGCTGGGGGTAAAGACCAGTTCCACCTCTGCCCAGGAACCTAGGGTGAGTGTATTGGCCCACCAGGGACCCACGGCCAACTGGACCCGTGGAATTTCCTCTGGAGAAGACTGCCAGGCCCAAAGGTCTCTGTCTGCAACCCCAGAGGCAGGTGGTGTTGGTGGGCCAGAGTGGGCCATGTTTGGGCCATGTTCCTCCAGGGCTAGGTCCAGCCAAGGAGCACAGGGCTAGTATGCAATGTTGAGCCAGTAGGACCAGCAAGTCTTGGGACAAGGTTGACCCTCTGAGCAGGTGTACATGCTGTGCACTGGCAGAGTCCCCCATAGAAAGCTCCCTCAACAACAGGAGCTGCAGGAACTGGTCAGACCCTGCAGGGCCTAGGGCCACTCTTGGACAATCCCATGTTGAGAGAAGTCACGGGAAGTCCTGGTGCCCTTGGGAGCCAAGAGCTGCTCCAACTCCACACCCCAGCCTGCTCCTCAGGCCCTGAGCCCCCAAGAACCAGCAAGGAGGGCACACAAGTCCCCCTCAGGCTGAAGGGCCACCTGGAAACTCTCCTCCCAACCCAGAGAAATCCCCAACTTATCAGAGCATCCTGCCACCCAGTGGCAGGCAGCTCAGTGGGGCCTTCTCAGGTGCTTCTGTAAGGACCCCACTGGGAGAAGTAGGTGTAGGGGGTGGAGAGGAGGCAGGCAGGCCTGGGGGAAACAGAGGCTCAGAGGGAGAGGGGAGAAGCAAGAGACACAGGAGGACAGAAGAGGGTGCAGGGTGAGAGGACGAGAGCCAGGACAGAGCAGTAGACGGGAGGGAATTAGAGAAGAGGGGCAATGAGGGAGGGTACGCAGGGCCTGGCAAAGGGGGCAGCAAGAGCAGAGGGAGGCAGTCGGGGCAACAGAAGGTGGCCCAGAAGGGAGGCCGGAGGCTAGAGGGGAGGGTAAGGGGAAGTTATGGGCAAAGAGTGCTCTAGGTCACCTAGGGGAGGGGCTGTGCCAGGACCAGCTCTGTGACCTGGAGCACCTGTGTCACCAGGCTGCTTCCCAGATGATGGAGGCCGATTCTGTTTGTTTGTTTAATGAAAACAACCCCACAGCATTTATTGTTTTTGATAATAACATAAAGGCAATCAAAACAATATGAACAAATATTTTAGAACTGTACTCTGGACAAAGGCCACACACACACCTGACACACCTGTCACACACCTGCACTGCCTCCTCAAAGACTTGTCACTCCTGGGTCATCCTGGATGGAAACACTGTGTATCATCGTCACAGCATGTTGGAGCTGGTTGCTTTCTGGGCTTGGTTTGGGGTGAATCTCTGGCACGCAACTACTAGGAGCTCACATGCTCCCCGAAACCTACCTGCAGCCCCCTGGGGCATCGTCACTTCACTGCATGGTCACCATTATAGGAACTGGGCCCAAGGCAGGGAGTGGCACCTCTGTAGGGCTGAGAGAGAAGCCAGGCAGGGCCACACAGCTTGGCTCACCATCAACCCCAGCCCTCTGCAGGGACAGGTGAGGTGATCCAGCCACGGTGCCCACAGAGCTTAGAGGCCAGCTGCCTCCTATTTTGCTCCCTGCTTGGCAGGGAGGGTCTGTACAATCAGCAGTGAGTCACTGCAGGAGTTGGCTCCTGGCTGGGAGGAGCTGCCGGCCCATCCCTGTGCGTCCCAGGAGACCGAGCCCTGATGCTGGCTGACCTGGACACTGCTCCAAGCCCAGCCCTGGCAGCCAGGGGCTCCCTGAGCCCTGAGGTGGAGAGATGGGAGGGAAGTTGGAGGGAAGAGCGGGAGGGAACACGACTTCAGGTACGGAGGGTTTGTCACACAGGATGGTTCTGGAAACCCAGCAGGTGCAGACCAGAGCCCACCCTGACCTCCCCCAGCACAGCCAGGTCTCCCCGCCGCAACCTCCCACCTCCTTCCTCCGCTCCCGGTGAAAGGGCGATGGTCGAAGGTCAGGGGTCAGATGTTGAGCCCTAGTTGGAAACCAGGGGTCATCTTGAGCCCGGGTTGGCCAAGCCAAGTACAAATTCGCACCGGCCTCCCCTCTTTTTAACCTCACCCGGACCCTTGTTTCCCAGTGTCCTCATACATGGAGAAAAACAGGAACTGGACAATAAATAATTTATTGAAACTGGAAGAATAAATATGTGGGCAGAGTTACAAACAACTGTAAAAACCATTAACACGTATATACAGAGGACGCCGGCGGCCCGGGGGCGGAGCCTGGCGCGGTGGGCGTGGCTAGCCCTCCCGCGCCAGCCGCGAGCGCCCCTCAGAGGTAGATGGCTTATTTACAACGCAGGAAGCCGCCGGCGGCCGCGGGTCTCCAGACCCCACCCGACTTGTGCCAGCGCCCTAGGAGCGCCCAGCGACTGGGAAATCCGCGCTCGGCTCCCTGCGGGCCCCGCTACCCGGCGAGCGCCCGCGGAACTGCACCCCTTGCACTACCCTCTCCACCCAGGAGCTGTGGGCAGGGAGACTGGTGTAGACGCCCGGCCGGTTGCGCTCCGCGCAGCCCTCGCCCCAGCTAATGATTCCCGCCAGCAGCCAGGAGCCGTCCACCTGGCACATCAGGGGGCCGCCAGAGTCGCCCTGTGGGGAGAAGAAAGGTTAGGGACCCACAAAGGGCAGGCGGGGGGCAGACCCAGGCGGGACACGCCTTCCAGACCCACTTGAAGGGAGAAGCACTGTGTGCAGCGCCTTCTAAACCACAGATGGTGAGGGACGGGGCGTCGTTATTTCTGTTTTGCAGGTGAGAAAACTGAGGATCAGAAGGAGGAAGTGAGTCGTCCCACGGGCAACGTGGGCGGCAGGAGAGGTGCCGCAAGCGGGCCTCAAGCCGGCCAAGCTCCGGGCCATTGCACACCCTGCCATCCTCCATGCCACTATGGAGCTGGAGCTGGAGCTGGCCCTGGGGTCCCCCTCAGAAAGCAAGTTCCTAAGAGTGAGGGGGCGCAATTGTGTGCACAGTCCATGCATAGCCCGGCCAGGCTGAGCGGCTGCATAGGGACTGGGGAGGGGGCCTAGGCAGAGGTGTGGGGCTGGAAGCGCACGGACTCTGACTCCTGCCCTGCGTGGGCACTCGCCCCTCCTAGCCAGGGCCGAAGGGGTGGGCACTCACCAGACAGGCATCCCGCTCCCCTTCCAGGTAACCAGCGCACAGCATGTCCTCGGTGATGGTCTCCTGCCCCGCGCCGCGCCAGTACAGGCTGCTGCAGAGGTCCGAATGGATGATGGGCACCTTCAGCTTCTGCAGGATCTGAGGGCGTGGCAGGGGCACTGGGGACAGGAGGATAGAGTCGGCCAGGTTCCCCTCCCACTTGTCTCCTCAAGGGGCAGGTTCCCACTATTTCCTTCTCAAGGGCCCACAGATCAGCTCTACTGATGGGGATTGACCTCAGGGCCTCCCACATGCTACCACTGAGCTACATCCCCAGCCTTTTTTTTTGTATTTAGAGACAGGGTCTCACTGAGTTGCTTAGCGCCTCAATAAGTTGTTGAGGCTGGCTTTGAACTCATGATCCTCCTGCTTCAGCCCCAAGCTGCTGGGATTACAGGCATGCACCACTGCCCCCCAGTCAGATTCTTCATCTTTAATAAGTCCTCTGATGCTCATAGGGCAGCCCTGCTGGTTCCCATCTCTGGCACTACTTGGTGCTGTGTGACTACTAGAGTAAGGCTCAGAGGTGCGCCATCCACGCTTACTGTCATCAGCCTCTCAGGGAGGCTGCCTAGAATTGGTTTACAGACCCATGGGGAGGCTGCAACCTCAGAGTTGGGGGGAGTCCCCAAATGCACGAGCTGATGTCATTTCTCCTCATTTTTCTGGACTCTGGTAGGGTCCCACTTTCCTCCTGCTTTGTCCTTACAAGTGGTCTCTGTCTGTCTTCCAGCGCTTCCCACATCTCTCATCTCTCATTTCTGCCTGGGTTCCTTTTTCTTGGCCTGGGCTCTGTCTACCTGTCATCTGTCTTTCTCTTGCTTACCTCTGCCTCTTGCTCTAGTTCGTCTGCTTTGTGACTTTCTAAACCTGAGGACTTACTGGAGACTGCATCTCCTCCTGGAATGTTGCCTGCACTTGTGGCATGCTGCCACCAGGGTGCCTGCTCTGGCTTTGCAAGCTCAGGGTGGTTTTCATTTCACCCTGAATCCAGCCTGGCCCCCTACACCCCCTTCCTGCCATTTCTGTGTCAGTGAATCGCTTTTCTGATCTGGCTGTTGTTGTCTTGAAACACAGCTCTTGTCTCTGTGATGCTGTGCCCTGGCCTCCACCCCTACTCCTCCTGGTAGTGTGTCTCTGAGTGCCTGCCACCCACTGTCCCCAATGCCCTTGGCCCCCCATGGGTGGGGAGGAGCCACACCTCCTTCGTGGATGCTCCCCCAGCCTGCAATCCAGCAGTCGGTGTTCGGAGGGAAATGGACAGAAGAATCAGGTAGGCAGATGGGCAGGATTCGCTCAGAGAACTGGATGGAGTGTTCAAGGCGCACCAGGGCAATATCTGCACGGGTCCCATCCTTCCAGGAGTACCCAGGGTGGGGCAGCACCCAAGCGATACCCACATCCTGGGACCGAGGGCCAGGGTTCTCCAATTGCCAGGCCCCCAGTAGCACTGAGAACAGGGATGGCTTGTTCAGATTGCTGCAAAGAAAGGGGGGAGGGGATCAGCCAGGAGGGGTCCAGGAGGGGACGCCTGGGAAGAGGGCAGGGGTAGAAGGCCCCGGGAGGCATCTGGGCAGAAGGAAGGTTTCTATTGAAGGGCAGCAGATCAGACAGAAGCCTGGGGGCAGGGGTGGGATGGGGAGCCTAGGGTCTGAACCCAGCGTGGGTTCTGGACGAGCTGGCCATACGTACCCCTTGAAACAGTGGGCTGCAGTGACCACCCAGCGGTTGGTGAGCAGGGAGCCTGCACAGTGGTGGGTGCCGTTCTTCTGGATGCTCACAACCCAGGGCCACTCAGCATCCACACTGTCCTGGCCACCCACGATTCGGTTCAGCTGTTGGGGCTTCCCGCAGTCTGGGGACACTGGTAAAGGAGGGACGAGTTTTCGGCCATCTCTAGTTTCCTTCCCTGCCCACAGTCTGCCACCGCATCCTCGGCCTGTGCCAGAAAGCTGTGCCCTCCCCCTGCCCTCTGAGGCTACTTCTGCTACTTGCCTCCCTCCTGCCCACTCAGCTGTGCCCCTGGGCCCCTCTGTCCCTTTGGACTCTGGCCCCTTTCCCTGCTCAGGCTCCTTCTCCTCCACCTCCCACTCTCTTCCCTGCCTGCCTTCTCCTCTAGCTCCGTCCCCCTCTTACCCCAGGCTGCCTTCTGACCTGCCCCCACACAGACGGACACACAGACACCCATTCCTCCCCTTCAGCACGTCAGCTCACACTCACCAGGAATCTTGGCGGCATTGAGGGTGGTGGCTGAGGGTAAGAAAAGGAGGGAGTCAGGGCAGTGCCAGGGGAGCCCCCATCCTCTCAAGCAGGCTCATTCCCAGGGCCCCTCCAGCCCCCAAGGGGTACTTTCTGGGACTGGGGCAGACAGAGCTCAGGCCCCACTGTACAGGGGTGGCCTCATCCTCCCTCCTGCTCTGTCCACTGCCATGGAAGGAAGGGTAAGAGAGGAAAGGGAGGCTCAGGACTCAGAACCATGGGTGCCCCAGGCTTCTTCCCTGAGCCCCACGGAGCCTGGATGGGGCTGTCCTCAGGGCCCTCCCCTCTGACATCCTACCCCAGGAACATGTGGAGCTGACCCCAAATGTAAGCCATGGAGGAGTAATGGGGAGATGAGAAAGACAAGGGGAAGGAGATGAAGACGGTGAAGATGAAGAGGGAGAGATAATCACCCACAAGAGGGAAGCACACTGAGTGCCCGCCGCCCTGCACCTTCTTCACGTAATCCTCACAGCTGCTGAGGAAAGTGAGGTTCAGAGAAGTTACATAGATGCCAGAGCTGGGCAGAGAGGTGCATGCCTGTAATCCCAGCCACTTGGGAGGCTAAGGCATGAGGATTGCAAATGTGAGGCCAGCCTCAGCAACTTAGTGAGGCCCTAAGCAACTTCGAGAGATCCTGTCTCAAAATACAAAAATACAAAGGGCAGGGATGTGGCTCGGTGGTGAAGCATCCCTGGATTCAACCCCTGGTGTCAAAAATGATGACATGTCAGAGAGAGGGAGGAGAGGGGAAGGGGTAGAAAGAGGAAGACGGAGGAACAAGAGAGAGAAAAGTAGGGGCCAGATTCCAGGCAAGTCTGGCAGGAAGCTGCTGAGTCCCAGGGAGGCAGGAGGGGAGCCTGGCACAGAGAGGAGGGGGAGGAGCAGCAGTCCTCGGAACTCACCTGTGGAAACCAGAAGCAGCAGAGTGGTCAGGGTCCTGAGACAGCCCCCTCCCAGGGCTGGGGGAGGTCTGGAAACCTCCATGGCCAGTAGGGGTGGAGGCCCAGCCAGATGGTGGCGTCAAGGGACGTGAGGGCTGTGCTGGTTGGGACAGGCAGGGCGGGTGGCTGTAGTGTGTTGGGTCCCCTGCAGGTTGCCCAGGTTTTATCCTGTGAGGTGGAATGCTGTTGGACCAGTCCCCGTGGCTTAGTCTGTAGGTCACAGAGGAGGCGGTGCTGCAGGGAGGAAACAGCCGTTACCCGGGGCTGGGGCCTCTACCTCAGGCCTCGATGGGTGGGCTGGGGCCCAGGCTCCTGGGTGTCAGTGATGAAGTCTGGAGGGGCAGGTGAAGGGACCTGGGCCCAGAGGTCCAGGCTGTGGTCTTGACGTTGACTGTCCAGGTGAGGAAGTGTCCTCACAGCATTGAACATGGGTCCAGCATGGGGAAGGGCTGGGTCCAGCATGGCAAAAGTCTGGGTGCAGGGTGTTGGGGAGCCCCAGGGCATGGTGGCCTTGGCTTGGGCTGTCAAGGGGAGGGCCCAGCTCACTAACGGCTCCCACCTCCAGGTGCCCCAGCTGCTGTGACTCAGCCCAGTGACCTGGTCCTACCCAGGGCTCTGGAATCCCGTTAGCCCACTTCCCGGAAAGCTGCGACTCAGGTCAGAGTGGCGGAACACAGTGGCCTCTTGGCTGCTGTCCGAGAGATCCCTGAGGCTGCCTTCCTGTTGTCCCTGCTGGAGGGGCTCGGCCCTGTCACTGGGTTGCCAGGAAGAACTCACTTCTCACCAGGACTCCCAGGAAGGGGAAGAGCCAGTGGCCACCTGGGTCAGGCCAACCCAAGAGGGAAGGACTGGGACTACTGGAGTCTGCCACCCCCATGTCCTGGGACCCCTGCAGGGTTCAAAAGGCTGTGGGGCTGGTCTGTGGGATGCCCTGGTTGGGGTGGACTTGATCTACTTCTACCTGGTGGCAGCCACCTGGGACAAGATTGGGGCAGTGCATCCTCCCAATCAACACCCTGCACTTGTGACACCCTCTACTCCAAGAAGGGACAGATGTCCTGTCCTCCCCTAGAGAGATGAGTATGTCTCTATCCTTCCCTGCCCTTCAAGGTTGGGCCCTCGCCATGGCAGAAGAGAGGGATGGCACTGATGCCACCATGTCTCATGCACCGCGGGCAGCCTCATGCCACCTCGAATTCCTTCTCCATCCCCATCCTGCAGACAGAAACTGAGGCGGCCTGGGGAGTTGCGTGATCTGCCCCAGGTCCCAGCTGGTGGGTAAGTGGTGGAAACAGGCTGTTGGGACTGGACTTGGGGGCTGGGTCCCATGGGCAGAGTGTTATTATTATTGCACAGGGTCCTACGGCTGGGCAGGGGGATGTTGGGAGCCCAGAGGAGGTGCCTGGCCCGACTGTTGGGAGCCCTGAAGAGAGGCTGCTGACACGGGAGCCTGCAGAACAGACACTATTGGCCCCACAGAGCATGGGGACAGGGAGAGGACATCACTCTAAGAGAAGGGGAGATTGGACAGAGGTTCTGGAGAGCCGTGGCTAGTGAGGGAAGGCAAGATAACCCAGGTCAGAGAACCTGGGGCAAGCCAGGCTCCCTCTGAAGCTGCACAGCCTGCCCTGGTAGAGCCCCTGTGCTGCCCACCTTCTCGGTCTCTTAGGGGTCAGGGTGGCAGCAAAACCCAGCTGGCACAGTGGGTCTGGTGGGGCCTGCCTGCAGGCATTGGGTAGCAAGAGGACAGTCACCCTGTTCTCTTCATGGTCGCTGCACTGTGGTCAGGAGGGCTGAGGTAGCTCATGGCTGATCTGCAGACAGACATGGCAGAGAGAGGGCCCTGCCCTGGCCCACCAAAGAATTGCCTGGGACTGGGGCCACCGGAGCCCCTGGGGGTACATGACTCTGCCCCAGGATTCAGGGGTCACTATAGGAGAATCACCATGTGGAGTGGCAGAGGGGAGGCCGTTTCTCTGGGCACCCTCCCCAGCAGAACAGAAATGCTATGGGGGGCACTTGCTTCCTCTCTGCCCTACCCTGGCCCCCTGGGCCCTGCACTCCTCCAGCTGCTCCCCCTGAAACAAGCTCACTTGACAGACATTTGGGCACCTGCTGTCTGCCAGTCCTTAGCTGGGCAGCAGGACGGGGGATGGGAAGAAGACACAGGTGCTGCCACAGGAAGCTCACGTCTTCCCAGGTGGGAGGAGGCAATGAGTAACGAAGGGAGGTATCTCAGGTGGGCCCTGCCGTGCGACAGAGGGGCCCTGGAGCCACACTCTACACTGTGCTATGGCTCCCTGTGGGAGGGTGCTGGGGGAATGGGAGGCTCCTCAAGCTGGTCCCTGTGCACATTGGGTCTCACTGGGGTGTTCATGACAGGTGTGCCTCTAGGGGTATCTGGGCACTGATGGCTCTAGACTCCTGCCTCTCCACCTCTTTTCCCCTTGCCCTCCCCATTTCTTCTCCATTCCAGCTCTTCCTGCCTTTCCAAAGACCTGGCTTACTGCCCTGGAGACCCAAGGGCAGACAAGCCCAAGTGTTGCTATCCTTGGGGTGGTCAGGAAGAGGCCCAAGGAGAAGGCCCTGTGGAAGCCAGAGATGCTAATGAAGACTTCATGGCACACGTCCTGGGAAAGAGCCCCAGAGACCAGTTCCCGATTCCCAGGGTGTAGAGAGCAGAGTCCCTGAAGGCCTGGGGGTGGAGACTCTGGCATGATTCAACCTCCATTCAACAAAATATTTACTGAGTGCCACCATGTGCTAGACCCACACAGGCATCCTGGCTGGGCATTGATTTGCCTGTGCAAGAGATGGATGAGCTGCCCACTCATGCCACCCACACCCCATGTCCCTACCAGTCTGGTCTCAGGGCCGCTGATCATCTTGCACTGAGGTGTTGATGACTGATACAGCTGCAGGGACATTTACATGCTAGCACAGCTGGTGCTGGTGATGCACAGACCAGAGAGGTGACTCACCAGTGGAGGCGGTTCAGATGTATGCCTAGGAGTCAGGGGACACATTCTGAACAGGGGTATCTATTCATTATCCAACCAAAAGCAACTAGGCATCACCTACTCCTGCTAGAGATCTTGCTAAGCCCTGGGCAATAAGAAATCAGGGCAGTGTTCCTGCCTTCATTGAGTCAATCAGCAAGCATTGCTGAGCACCTAATGCATACTGGACTCTAAATGCTACAGATACCACAGTGAACAAACCCCCACGGTGTGGATTTTGAATAAAATCGAGAATTTAAAAAGTATGTAAATTGGTCTGAGTTGTGGCTCAGTGGTAGAGTAATTGCCTAGCACATGTGAGGCATTGGGTTCAATTCTAAGCACCACATAAAATAATAAATAAATAAAGCTATTTTTAAAAGTATGTAAATCATTTAGTCTAATAGACAATAAGGTCTACGGGGAAAACCAAAACAGAGAAAGGGATGTGGCAGGGTGGGGAGCCCCCAGGGGACTGGGATAAGTGGCAGGTGAGGTGTAGAGGGAAAGCCAGCTGGAGGCTAAAGGCCTTTGACGTCCTGAGAGACCTGGGCAACCACAGCTCTGAGCAGAGACTAAGATCCCTGCAGCTGGCAGCGGCAGAGGCCCAGGATGAAGCCAGAATCGTCAGGCCCAGGAGAGATGGTGCATGGGAAGGGGAGGGGAGTAGTGGGGGTCATGGCAGGGGTCAATTCTAGATCTTCTCTAGGGCCCTGTACATCTTTCCGAGGGGTTGAGAGCAGCAGCGCTTTTCCAAGGGCTTTGACCTGAGCCCTGGTCTGAGGTGCTGCCCAAGGAGGGGCTGCTGCCAGTCAGACAGGGTGGAGGTGGGATGGGAGAGACACACCAGATCTCTTGGCCTGGGGTGGAGGCCATAGGTAGGGGAGTTCCAGGGAGAGGTCGGCTGGCGGGAACCCTGGAGTCCAGAGCATGGGGGGCGGGCAGTGCCTGGATCTGCTGAGGTGGGCAGAAAGATGCTGTTTGCAGTTGGAGGCCAAAGAACCCCATGCTCCTCTCCTGCCCATCCAGGCTTCAAGGACTCACATCCAACCCAAACAGGATGAGAACTGTGACAAGAGACAGGCACAGGTGACCCAGGAGTCTGACTGCAGGGAGTGTTCAGAGAACAGACAGCCACCCAGGCAGGGAGCCCCTGGCGGGGAGCTGGGCGCAGGGATGGGGCACTCAGTTGAAGCCAGCAGCCCACAAGGGCCTAGGAAGGAGGCTTTGCTCCATGATGGGAAGGGACTGAGGCCCAGAGCACATGGGCACTACAACATGCACCTTGAGAACATCATCCAAACGAAAGAAGCCAGACACAGAAGGACAAATACCACCAGATGCAGTGACGCAGACCTGTCATCTCAGCCACTCAGGAGGCTGAGGCAAGAGGCTGAAAGTTTAAGGCCAGCCTCAGCAACTTAGAGACCCTGGGTCAAAATAAAAGATAAAAATGGCTGGGGATGCAGCTTGGTGGTAGCACATTCAATCCCCAGTGCCAAAAACAAGTAAGTCAGACATACCCTGTGTGAGGCCCTGGAGAGTCAGACCTACGGAAAGGAGCATGGTGCATGCCAAGGGCATGGGGAGAAGGGGTGGGGACACAGCTTCAGCCTGGGGTGATGAGAATGTCTGGAGTGGACGTGGTGATGGCTGCTCACTGCCACTGAGCTGTCACTTAAAGAGGTTCAAATGGTGAACTGGATGTTACATACATTTTACCACAACTGAAAAAGTGAAAGAATCTGGATTCCCAGTTTTCCCCGATACATTGACAGCTCTGGACCCCCTCCCCTGGGTCTCTGTTGCCCTTGACTGTGGCAGGGTCCCCCACCCTCTCTGCTCTGTGACTCAGGCCACTGCCCTGGGTCAACACTGGCCCCCAGGGGTGCTGGGTTTTTGACCCTGCTTTTCGAGGCAGGGCTTGGGCAGGAGCAGACGCTCACCCTTCCGCGGGTCATTCTACTTTGCTCCTTCCTCCAACCTGGGCCTCAGTTTACCTGTCTGTGAACAGGACTGGTCAGCACAACTGCGCTGCTGTGCTTGGGTGAGGGGCTGATGATGTGCAGCTGAAAGCAGGCCCAGCAGGGGCTGGCTTGTCTGCACGCAGAGTGTCCTGGAGCAGGCGTGATTTCCAGGAGCCTGGCCTGGGTGGCTCCAGA